TCTGTTCCCATTGGCTCAGGAGCCTCGGTTTGATCTGAATCTTTTTTTGGGCTGTGGTCATCCTGGGACTCCGGCTGGGAACAAGAGGGACACGGATGTGTGTGACTAGACAGGATCTTTGCCAGAGCTTAGCAGCCATCCTCCAAAGATCCGCTTTTAGTCCTGACCACCCTGCCGGGTGCGAGCCCTCAGGCCAGTCCCTTCCCCACCCTGCGCCTCAGTTTCCCTGTAGGTAAAAGGGCATGGCCCGCCCCGCTGCGGGCTTGTGGCTCGGCCGGCTGAGAAGGTGCCATGCTGACCGTGTGTTCTGTCTCCCTGCAGACAGAAGCCCAGGAGCCATGGGTGACTGGGGCTTCCTGGAAAAGCTGCTGGACCAGGTCCAGCAGCACTCCACTGTGGTGGGCAAGATCTGGCTGACAGTGCTCTTCATCTTCCGCATCCTCATCCTGGGCCTGGCCGGTGAGTCCGTGTGGGGTGACGAGCAGTCGGATTTCCAGTGCAATACGGCCCAGCCGGGCTGCCCTAACGTCTGCTACGACCAGGCCTTCCCCATCTCCCACATCCGCTACTGGGTGCTGCAGTTCCTCTTTGTCAGCACGCCCACGCTGATCTACCTGGCCCACGTCATTCACCTGTCTCGGCGTGAGGAGCGGCTGCGGCAGAAGGAGGAGGAGCTGCGGGCACTGCCGCACAAGGACCCCTGCGTGGAAAGGACGTTGGCAGCCATAGAGCGTCAGATGGCCAAGATCTCAGTGGCCGAAGATGGCCGCATGCGGATCCGAGGGGCGCTGATGGGCACCTACGTGCTCAGTGTGATCTGCAAGAGCATCCTAGAGGCAGGCTTCCTGTACGGCCAGTGGCGTCTCTACGGCTGGACCATGGCGCCCGTGTATGTGTGCCACCGCGCACCTTGCCCCCACTCGGTGGACTGCTATGTCTCTCGCCCCACCGAGAAAACTATCTTTATCATCTTCATGCAGGTGGTCGGATTCATCTCCCTGCTGCTCAACCTGCTGGAGCTGGTGCACCTGCTGTACCGCTACCTCACACGGAGACTAAAGGCCCAGCAGGGCCAGCATGCCCCCCTCGCTCAGGGCACCACCCCGGAGCCCTACGCTAACCAGGTCTTCTACCTCCCCATGGGCAAGGAGCCCTCATCCGAGCCATGCCCCGTCTACAGCGGGCTCTCATCCAGTGAGCAGAACTGGGCCAACCTGACTACAGAGGAGAGGCTGGCTGCTTCTAGGCCACCCCCCTTCCTGGACCCGTACCCTCAGAGTAGCCAGAAATATCCCAGCAGCCATGCTTCTAAGAAACAGTATTTGTAGGAACCTGGGACTTATGTCACCCAACGGTGGGGCCTGGGAAGTCTGGCTGCCTTGGGTGCCCCCTCCTTGAAGGCTCTGCAGAGATGACTAGGGCGGGGGAAGCGGGTGCTTGCTGGCCGTGGGGCCTCACTATCGGTTGTTCTTGGACACCTGGGACCTTCCTGGTGACCAGACGACACCTCATGGTTTCCCCTCCAGAACCTGGCTTTGCCGCAGGCACAGATAGAGCCAGCTCGGGGTGCTCTTGACCGAAGGCTTCGGCCCTCTGGCCTTTTTCACTTTGTTCAGAGGGGCCTGAAGCCAAGTTACTCCACCCCCACCGTCATGGAAGTTTCTCCTCCACCCAGATTGTCCTCACACCCTCTCCTCGCAGGAAGAGGCTGGACCAGGCTGCTGGGTAGGCCTGGATTACACACACAGAGCCCTGTCAAGGAGGCCGGCGTCTTGTTCTCATCACTCCTTCCTGGTTCCACTGTTTATGCTTCTAAAATAAACGGAACTTGATCACAAGCTAGGTGTGTATATTGACGCTGTCGTGATGTGCATCGGGGTGGGAGCCGAGGGGTGGCCTTGCTCTCCCCAGGCTTTCTTTGCTTTTCTGTCCTGGATAATCTGTCTTTGGCCTCTCCAACTCCAACTCCAGGGAGCACCTTTCACCTTCCAACTCACACACCCTGCCTCTCAGCAGCCCTGAGTCCTAAACATTCTGCCTTTTGAAATGCCTCAGGCACCATCCTCTTTCATCCTCTGCCTCAGCCCCTCAAGCCAAAGCAGTGTCTGTCCTCAGCCTGCCCCGTGGCCAGGGAGTACCCCAGCCACTCCACCCCCTGGACACACACACCCTGCTCCCAACGCTGCTGGCCAGCTGAGCCCTTCACAGTCCAGCTCAAATGCACCCCATCCCACCTCATCCTGGGCCCCTTGGTATTCGAGGAGGCGGGTTTAGATCACTTGCCCCTCCAACCGTGGCCCTTTCTACCCACCAGAAGGAGCAACTCAAACCTGCGTCATGCCTCCCACCGCCTAAAACTCGCTCAGAACAGACAATGGCAACAGAGAAAGGTGGGAGGGGTTGTGGAGGGGCTGAACCTTGCCTCTAAGTCACAAATGTTGCAGGAGAAAATGGAACAATTGAACTGGATCTTGATGGGTGAATAGGAGTTCGCTGAGGAGGAGAAAACACTGAGTATTCAGGCAGAGAGAAAAGTTCGTGCAAAGGCATGGAGGAGGGGAAGGGTCAGGTGGTTGTGGGGGTGCTTAGGGCCTGGTGAGCCTCTAGGAAATGGGAGGAATGGCTGAGGATGAGCCCAGCATTGGTAGAGTTGACCTTCCATGTGGAAGATGACCCAGGTAGAGGGGGCGCTCAGGTAGTGGCCCGTGGAGGCAAGCTGGTCGTTCTCCGCTACCCAGGGAGATCTGGAGCTGGGGTTGGAGGAGGGAATGGGGGTCCATCTCACATGGTCACATGCTTCCCATTAACAGCCTTTACAGCAAGTTGGCAACTTGGCCCCTTGCCCATCAAAATAGGTCTCCAAGCCCAGCTGGTGTTGCCCAGTGGTTGAGCTTTGACCCATGAACCAGGAGGTCACATTTCAAGTCCCGGTCAGGGCACATGCCCAGGTTGTGGGCTCGATCCCCAGTGTGGAGCATGCAGGAGGCAGCCGATCGACAATTCTCTCTCATTCATGTTTCTATCTCTCTCTCTTCTCCCTTCCTCTCTGAAATCAATAAAAACATAAAAACAGAGATAGGTCTCCAAAACACCAGCTCTGTATCCCTCACCCCAGAACTCATTCACTCACTACTTAACCATGCTCAGCCCGATAAATGACCGGCTCTCTTACTCTTCCAGCTTCAGTCCCCATTGTTCCCTCTGAATCCCCGAGATCCAATAGCCCAGGGTTCTCCTGTCTCCCCAGACTCATCCAGTATGTCCCCACCCTGCTCCTCTGACAACCTGGAGTGCCTCTTCTCATGGACTGCTGAACTTCATCAGTCCTTTAAACACTACTGGACCCTGGCAAAGGTAGAGCCTGGATGCAGAAGAAAGAGTAAGATGAGCTGTGACATCAGAGGGTCCTCAATTTAAACAATGCCTCTAACATGTACAAAACCTTGTGGTCTCAGGTCAATCATTTCACTTCTCTGAGTCTCCATTTTCTCATCTATAAAATTCAGATATTATCACCTACGTCACAAGTGACAAGAAATAAAAATAAAAAAGCATATGAGTGTGCCTGGCTCCTAGAATGCATGCAATAAAATTCACCTCACCCTCTCCAGCAAAGCCATCATAGGTTCTTTCTCCAGGAAGCCCTCCCTGACTTCCCCAGCCAGTCTCCAGTGATGATCTCTACCTCTCAGGAATCTGGACCGCTGCTTAGTATGTCTATTTCATCTCCCTGTGAATCTCTAAGAATCACCAGGGAGACACATATTCCCCCTGGGCCTAGCCCTGCCTTCACGATGATAAGGTATTGAGTGGGACTGGGCAGAAAGCAGGCTGTTCACTCATTGGAAGGGCATGATCCAGGAGGCTGAGGTCCTCTTCTAAAGGATCCGTCCCCAGCCAGAGTGAGAGGCCTTGGGGCTGTGGTCAGTAAAGGGCCCACGTACGGACTTTGGGCAAGGCTAGGGTTGAGACCTAGGCTGGTGCCAATGCAAACACGAGAGCAAATGGGCTGGGGCTGAGAGAGGGGCAGGGGGTGTTTAAGGGCAAGGATAGTGTATTGGGGCTAGAGGGCCACACAGAATGGTGTGGGGGCAGTGCTGCAGGGAGAAGACATCCGGTGAGGAGTGGCTGTCAGCGTCATCCCACCGGTTTTCATTTCCTAGCGCTGTTATAACACAGACTAGGGCCTTCAAAAACAGATACTTATTCTCTCACAGTTCGGGAGGCTGGAAGGTCGAGGTGTAGGCAGGGTTGGTTCCTTCCGAGAGCTGTGAGGGAGAATCTGTTCCATGCCTTTAGCTTCTGGTGGGTGGCTGGTGTTCCTTGGTTTATAGAAGCATCTCCCCCACCTCTGCTTTCCTCTTCACACATTGTCCCTGTGCATGAGTCTGTCTCTCTGTCTAAACTTCTTTTCATTTGATTGATAAATATATCTTTATTGATTTCAGAGAGAAAGAGAGAGGGAGAGAGAGCTAGAAACATCAATGACAAGAGAGAATCATTGATCGGCTGCCTCCTGCATGCCCCACACTGGAGATCAAGCCCGCAACCCGGGCATGTGCCCTGTCCAGGAATCGAACTGTGACCTCCTGGTTCATAGGTCAATGCTCAACCACTGAGCCAACTGTCCGGGCTAAACTTCTTTTTGATTTATTTATTTATTTATTAAATATATTTTAATTGATTTCAGAGAGAAAGGGAGAGGGAGAGAGAGATGGAAACATCAATGATGAGAGAGAATCATTGATTGGCAGCCCTCTGCACGCTCCCTACTGGGGATGGAGCCCACAACCCAGGCATGTGCCCTTAACCAGAATCAAACCAGGGACCCTTCAGTCCGCAGGCTGACGCTTTATTCACTGAGCCAAACCAGCTAGGGCTGAACTTCTTTTCATAAAGAAACTAGTCACATTGGATTAGGGCCACCCTAATGACTTCATTTCAACTTGATCACCTCTGTAAAGACCCTATTTCTAAATAAGGTCATTCGGAGGTACTGGTGGTTCAGACTTCAGCATACCTTTTGGGGGTAGACAATTCAACTATACTACCACCCTACCGGCTCCACCTCACCTCCAAGCACTTGTTGGGGGAGGCCAAGGACAACGTTAAGTATATATTGGACTCAGGCATCTCCCTGGTGATGTGGCCTGGATGGAACACAGAAGGTTCACATCTCACTTCTTCCTTCTTTGTCCTCCCACCAGCCTATCCTTCACACCACCAAAATCAAAGTGGGGTACAGGCAACTCTCAGTCACAGGAGGAGCCATAGGAGGTTGACTCCTGGCACCCATCCTTCAGTCACTTGACTGTGGTCCTTTCCCCTCTCTGGGCCTCATTTTCCCTATCGTGAAATATAAGTGTTGGGTGAGACACAGGTATATGGCTGTTAGGTATGAGGAGCATTGCATGGAGGAACTTGTCACTCATCATTGACCTGAAGCTCACAGGTGATATGCTATTTTCCATGAATTAAAACAGATTCAAGATTGTTTCTATAATAGGATATATCCTAGTCACTTGAGTTCCACATTGCCTTCTTGAGTAAGAAGGGGAAAAAAAGGGTTTGGAGTTACGTGGAGTGCACTGGGAATTCTGCATAACCCCAAGTCATCTTATCTGGGACCCATGGGAGCATGTGAATGTCATGGGCATGCATAAACGAAGTAGACAGTGGTTGGGCTGAGTGATGGCAAAACTTCTTCCCAGCCCGGCCGGTGTGGCTCAGTGGTTGAGCGTCGACCTATGAACTGGGAGGTCACAGTTCAATTCTGAGTCAGGGCACATGCCCAGATTGCGGGTTCGATCCCTGGTGTGGGGGCGCACAGGAGTCAGCCAATCAGTGATTCTCATCATTAATGTTTCTTTCTTCCCTCTCCCTTCCTCTCTGAAATTAATAAAAATGTATTAGAAGAAGAAAAAAAAAACTTCCCAATTGAACATGCCAGCTCACTGACCACTAGGTTGCTGACCTCATGATTCTCACAGTGACCTCCAGGGCCGTGACTGGGGCTCCTTCGTTTCCTTTTCACATTAGGCTCCGCATGACCACTGATGTTTGCAGGAAGAGGAACCCACCACGGGACTGTTGGAACTTCTGCCTCCACCTTCCAGCTTCTCCCACTCGCCCTGGCTCTGACCTCAAGGGCCATACGAGGCTCAGGTGCTCTGCTCTTCCCATACAAACACTGCAGCCACGTGGAGAAAGCCACCAGGCCTGTCCTGGGCCTGCGCTTCTCCTACTCCTCCAGCTGGCTCTGATTTCCAGAAGTCTCTGGCAAACCTGCAGCTTGTCTACTTTCCTGGTAACACGTGTCACCCTCCTCTGGGTGCTAGACATCATACTCCAAGTGATCAGAATCCAGATTATCACCTCTTGCCTCAAAACTTCTATCTTTATTTTTAAATTAAATTTATTGGGGTGACATTGGTTTGCAAAACCATATAGATTTTAAGTGTACAACTCAATAAAACATAATCTACTCACTACATCGTGTGCCCATTACCCCAAGCAAAGTCTCTTTCAGTCCCCATTTTTCCTCCCTTTGCTCACATCCACCTAGCCCCAACCCTCGTTCCCTCTGGCTATCACCACACTGTTGTCTGTGTCTATGTGTTATATGTGTACTAGAGGCCCGATGCACAAATTTACTAGTATGCATCGGTGGGGTCCCTCAGGGCTATCTTGCCCAGTCCTGATCGGGGCCTATTGGGTCCGGCTGGCTGGGGAGGGACTGCAAGAGGGCTCCAGGGCATGTTTGGCGTGTCTGGCCCTCTCGCCCAGTGCAAGACCCCAGCAGCAACTAAACTACCGGTTGGAGCATCTGCCCCCTGGT